AAAGCTAAGAAAACAGAATTGTTAACCCCCAAGATCTGACTGGGAAGGAGGTTCTGAGAGATCACTTAACAGAAGGTCTTTTCTGCCCACTAGCCCTGAAAGTAGTCATTCTGAGATCCCTTTGAGAAAAGGTTTTAAAAGGAGAGTGGTGTGAATGACAGTCAGCCACATACAGAGGATTAGGGCTAATTCTGCCTGTTTCCTCCCCCAGCTTCATGTGAGGAATAACCTTTTGTTAACCAAACAGAATGGTCTAAGCCCTGAAAATACAGACCAGAGAGATGTCCCTGCCATCCAGTGGCATGAAGCGTGGGGTTGTTCAACAGTGTGATTCACACAGGAGGGCGGAGATGCAGAAGGGAGGGTAGAAGGTCCTGGAGGCTGGCGTGTTATGGGCATTTGGTCATTAAACCTGGGAACCCAAGACGTGGCACCCAACTAGGTCTGCTCCCACTCAGTTACTGCCTATCTTGTGTGTGTCCTTTTCAGCACCGCCACGTGGGTCTGTTGCCACTGACAGCCCCCAGGACTCTGCCTAGAGAGGCACTAGAGGAACATCTGTGTCCTCTGGCCTGGAGTCTTGTCCTTCTATCTCCACTGTGCCAGGAGACTGAGCCCTTTCCCACTCTGCTTGGGGGCAGATGGCATCACCAAGGAGCCGCAGTGCCCTTCAATGACGGCTCTCTTTGTCAAGTGTCAGTGGCACCAACTAACTTATTTCAGTGCAGAGCCTCCCTCTGTAAGGAAATGTAGGGGGTGGCGAGAGTCATTGTCACCCTCCCACTACACATGAATCGTGCTGGGTACAGTCAGGAGCGAAAATTTTTTCTCCTTCATTAGGAAGTTCTTTAGCATCTGTCTGGTGTTGGGAGAGAGATGGGTTTGTGGTGGGTGGGACTCAGAGAACCCTTCCCACTCTCTCTCCAAGGCCGCGTGGGGACTGTGCGCATTTGTTGTCAGAGTTTGTACATTGGATGCTATGACTTTTTAGAATTACAGCCGAGGGGCGCCTGAGTGGCTCAGTCGGTTAAATGTCCAGCTTTGGCTCAGGTCATGATCTCGTAGTTCGTGAGTTTGAGTCCCACATCAGGCTCTGTGCTGACAGCTCAGAGCCTGGAACCTGGTTCGAATTCTGTGTCTTCCTCTCTCTGCCCCTCCCCAACTTGTGCTCACTTGCTCTTTCTCTCTCTCAAAAATAAACAAACATTAAAAAAAAAAGTTACAACCAAATTCTTGCCTATGGTATAAGATTAATAACATAATACAAGGGATGTGGCTGGTTCTCAAAGTGAAACCTGGCCTGTCACAAGACCAGAGCAAGAGTGGACTCTTGCAGAGCTACAGGCTGAAAGCATCAGGGAAAGGGTAGGAGGTGAGGAGAACTCAACAGGTTGGCCAAACAAGGGGAGCCCACTGCAGCACCCAGAGGAGAGCAGGAGAGAAAACATCCCAGCGGATCCCAGGGGTTCGTCATGATCTGGATGACCATATCAAATTGTCAGGAGAGTTTTGAATATTGCCTGAGAATTGGTGTTTTCCAAGAATCACTTTGAGATTAACAGTAGCTATTTATAGGGATGTAGGCAGGCTTGTTCAAACAATGTCCTGAGAACATTTGGTTTCACGAATCAAATCAAAAGAGCATTTGGAATCAACACACATTAGTACATGTTGCCATTGCATAATTCTTTATTTTAGGTTGGTGAGAATATCATTTCCAAATCAACCTACTTTCTCTTGTTTATTGTTACATTACACATCCAAGGACTTCACTCTCTGTGTGTTTTAAGTGTAGTTCAGAACCTCACCTCAAGGCAAGTGATTTACCTGCCAACAATTGGTTAAAAAGTGTTCATTGCATTATTGTTGATAGAACCTGGGTAAGACACAACACCAGGAAGAACAAGAAATGTTTGGCACAAATACACAGACCTCCACCCCCAGTATTGCTACCTTGATATTCACTTGTTAATCATTTAGAACTTTCCCCCAACACCCATGCAACCGATCCTGGCATCTGTTGGTGACTCCCTTTGGTCAGTTGTGAGAATAGAAGCATCTGAGAAAGATCCAGACACTGTTTCTTTTCTTTTTTTTTTTAACCATATATTTGATCTTATAACTTTTCCCACTTAAACAAAATCTCCGATTTTGAAAATTGTATATATGTCATCTGTGGCTTCAAGAATCTAAACATCTCAAGTAACATCCCAGTTCCAGGCTGCCTCAAAATCAGCCACTTGCTTTTCGAGTGCATGCAGTGTCTCGCACAGTCCTCCAAAACATAGGTCTGTGTGCCAGGCTGAGGGCAGAGCTGCTGAATGTGCAGGTGCCCTTGGACGTACGGATTTCTGGAGGGACATCATGTTCTTTATTCTTTTGTTTTCTGAATAATGGATAGTGGCCAGAATTTCCCTCTTTCTAACAGGGAAGGAGGGGGAGGAAGAGACGAAGGGGAAGGAGGGGGAGAAAGAAGGCAGAAGAAGGAGAGGGAGGGAGGAGGGGTTCTCCTAAGGAGTCCTTCCTCCCACACCCACCCTCCCACTGAGGGTGGGGAATGCAAAATAACACAATATCAGCTCTTCCTAGGAGTGAAGCGTACTTTGCAGGTGCTGTGATGCTTACCCTCCGCACATCATGGCTCAGGGCATCGGCTCAATCTTTGCTTATAAACTGTGGAAGCAGCTATTGGAAGTCCCCTCTCACCTTCTCAGGGCTCCTTCTGCATGTCTTTCGCCATGTCACACCTGGTGTGCCCCAACAGCTTGTGCCCCTGATCCTGCCCTGAGCTCTAGCTGCCCCTACACTGCTGTTTGACATCTGGTGCCACTGAGTGGCTAGGCCAGGCTGGCTTGCCATCTCCCTTAAGAGCCGCGCGGCCCCGCGACCTGGAGGCCAGGGCTCTTGCCCACCAGCCTGGCTCTGGGCACGGGATATTCTGCTGTCTGTTCTGCTGGGAGGTGACACTGGGTCGGGCATCACTGGTGAGCCTTCTCTGCCTCCTTTGAACTTGCCATCAGCCCACGTGGATGGCCCTGGAGGCTTAGAAATAAGCTCCTTGCAAATGCAGTCACCTCCCACCATCTGTCCCCTGGTCCCACTATCTCCCACCATCTGACACTCATACAGAACATGAGCTCAGAGAGAGTATGCCTCCTAAATCAGCAAGACATTTACTGTGGTAAACGGCTCCCTGTGGCCAGTTGCCATATTAGACGCATCTGAGAAAAATGCTCCTAGCAGTCACGGGGGCCAGGAAGTATGGATGCGGCCAGCTCAGTTATCCAGGGGCCGCTTCTTCCATTTGTGAGTTTCCTGGCATTATAGTTCTCTTTCTCCTTTCCCTTACTGTATCGAGGCTAAATGTAGCAAATAAAGGACATACAACCCTATGTATTTTGCTCTTGGTAAAAATGAAAACAATAAAGTCAAATCAGAAGTTTGGAGGAACTGGGGACGAAACCTACAAGCAGATTTGGGGGTTATCTGTGGATCGTATTTCTTATGGTCGTAACCAGAAGCATTGAACAATAGTTTTTATGCACCCCAAGTCCTGCTTAGGAAAGCTTAACGAATAGAAGAGAGGGGTTCCCCTCTGTTAGTCTTTTTGCAAAGGGACTTTCCTTACAGACTGGAGGAGCACTCACCTGGGCAGTGAGCATTTTCCAGGGGGAGGAACTTGGACAAGGGTGAGATTGACCTGGTTCAGGTTCCAGCTGACCTGTATCTGCCGTGTGGCGTCAGTAAAAGAACTTCGCTGAGGTTCATTTTCCTCCTCTCAGGTGCAGAGAAAGGTCATTGTGAGGGTTGCTGAAAGGGATAGAGTAGAAAACATTTATGAGTGCTGCCTGAGACCCAGATCACGGCACGCACTTAATTCAGGTTAGTCCCTTAGAGAGGAAGTTGGTGGAGAGGCCACTTTCTAGCGGATCCCTTTGGGCAGGTTACTGGGCCTCTCCGCCCCCCTGTAACTTGGGAGTCATCATGATAATGATAACATTATGAGCGCTCTCCCCAACCAAGACCAGGTGGGGTAAGTGCGTTAATGCATCCCAAACCCACAGAACACGCAGTCAGCATATAGCCAGTGCCTGGGACACTTACAGCTCTTTGAGTTTGTCTACTCTCTTAAGTTTTCTAGAAAGACATGCTGATCATATATACTTGGGTGACAAGGGGATTTTTCTTGTGGAGATTCACCATCTTTTCTAGCATGTATTTACTCTGTGTACAAATATATATGGCAGCTGGTTGCCAGCGGCTGGGTGGGTGCCCAGCACAGGGCTGGAGGCACAAGACCAGGAACAGAGAGTGTGAGAACAGGGACAGAATAAGATGAGACCCCTGGCGCGGAGGACTCTCAGGTTAGAAGCGAGGAATTGGGATTAAGGAGCATTTTTGCTGTTTGACAGATGAGAGGACAAAATATCAGTGTTGATGGATGACCTACCCAAAACCTTAGAGAATGAGCTGAGAGCAGGTCTAAGGCAGGCTCCCCAGGCACCAGATTTCAGGTCTTCGCTGCACTGGATTGTGAGCTCCATGAAGGCATTATGGAGAGTCTTCATGTTCACGCCCCACACCCCCCAGGAAGGCCCTGTTCTGGGGCCGGAGATGCTTCCCTGAGTTAATTTCCGGCGGAGTCATACCCCAGGCTCCAAGTGAAGTATACCTTTCTCTGACTCAGTCTCGTCTGAGCTGCAGTACTTAGCACAGCACTGACATGACATAGCCACCTGTTCCTATTTGTTGATTGATTGATGGATTGAATTTGATTGGTAATCTCCAGTTACACACACACACACAGAAATGCTCTCATGTTTTTTCTGGCTAAGAAACCCAACACCTAAAATAGGTCCTCTATCTCTACTCAGTTTTTAGACAGAAAGTTCAGCCCAAGGAGTAAACAAAAAAAAAAAAAAAAAGAAATATCTAAGAAATGTTTTATGTCTTAAGCTTTTGAGTTGTCAGGTTTGTATCTCTCCTTTGTCATTTCACAGCTCCTGAGGTCCTGGCCCAGAAACCGTACAGCAAAGCAGTTGACTGCTGGTCCATTGGGGTGATTGCCTATATCTTGTAAGTATTGCTTGCTACCTCGGCTTCTTTTCGCACTTTCTTTTTTTTATTGTGGCAAAATATGCATAACACGGAATTTACCGTTTTAACCCCTCTTAAATGCACAGGTCAGTGGCGTCAAATACATTCACGCTGTTGCGCAGACGATCATCACCACCCATCTCCAGAACGTTTCCATCTTCCCAAACTGAAACTCTGTCCCAATTAAACACTGCCTCCCTATGGTCCCTCCTCACCCCCCCACCGTGGTCCCAGACTCACTCCATTCTACTTCCTGTCTTTGTTAAGTCGGCCATTTTAGGTTTCTCATGTAAATAGAATCACACAGCATTTGTCCTTTCATGACTGGCTGTCTGTTTATAATGTCCTCAAGGTTCATCCATGTGGGAGCAGGTGCCAGAATTTCATTCTTTTTAAGGCTGACCAACAGACCGTTATCTGCATATGATACATTTTGTTTATCCATTCATCCCTCAGTGGACTCCAGGCGGTTTCTACCTTGTGGCTGTCGTGCATAATGTTGCTATGAACATGGGTATTCAGATGTTTGCCTTTGGGTGTATACCCAGACGTGGGATGCCTGGATCATATGGTAGTTCTACGCTTAACATTTTGAGGAAGCTCCACACTGTTTTCCAAAGCAGCGTCCTCACTTTACATTCCCAACAGCAACGCACAAGCGTTCCAGTCTCTCCACATCCTTCCAACACTTATTTTCCAGTTTTCGTAACAGCCACCCTAACCGGTATGAAGCACTTTCATTGTGGGTTTGATTTACATTTTTCTTTCTTAAAATGTATTTCTAATGTTTTTATTTGAGTACAGTTTACATACAATGTTATGTTAGATTCAGGCATATAACATAGTGATTTGATAACTCTGTATGTTGGGCTGTGCTCACCACATGTGTAGCTACCCTCTGTCACCACATGATGCTATTACACTATTATAATACCATTGGCTATATTCCCCATGCTGTGCCTTTTATTCCTGTGACATATTCATTCCATCACTCTATCTCCCACCCCTCTTCACCCATTTTACCCCTCCCCCTTCTGGCAAACCGTCAGTTTGTTCTCTGTGTTTACAGGTCTGATTCTGGTTTTTTGTTTGTTTATTTATTCATTTGTTCTTTATATTTCACATATGAGTGAGTTCCTATGATATTTGTCTTTCTAGGTCTGATTTATTTCATTTAGCAAAATACCCTCTAGGTCCATCCATGTTGTTGGAAGTGACAAGATCTCATCCTTTTTTATAGCTGAGTAATATTTGTGTGTGTGTGTGTGTGTGTGTATCACATTTGCTTTATCACTGGACACTTGGATTGCTTCCACATCTTGGCTGTTACAAATAATGCCTCAGTGCATTTGTCTTATGGCTAATGATGCCGAGCATCTTTCCATGTGCCAGCTTGGCTTTCCTGGGGATACAAATGACTATGAAAATATTAGGATATCTTCAAAAGAAATCAAAATGAGAAAAACATGATGAAGACGAAACCTTAGCCTTTAGATACCTCATTTCTTTTCAGGTGCCTCATCTCCACAACCCAGGAAAGGCCATCACTGGCATAGGGTTGTTGCAGTTATTTCACGATGATCAGTTTGGGTTACTATTATTGTTATTACTTTGTTTTGCTTACGTCCACTGTAAAGTTGTTTTTTAATTACAATTTCTTTTGGCAGTGACACTTTCAAACACTATGGAGCACACTGCTAGGCTGGGTTTAGGCCAACTGGTGTCTGTAATTGATAGGAAATGAATTTCTTCCCAAGGAAGGGAAGGCTTTCTAGCAGACAGAGCCTGCTACACACAATGAAAGACCATGGGGGATTGTGATCAGAGGAAGGTCTGACAGTATGTGGCTTCCTCAGGGACTGCTGGAAACATCCCTGTGGTGTTGGCTTTGTCTCGTTATCTGGAAAGCAAGCAGAAAGCGTTATCTTTCTACAGGTACATTCATCAGGGCAGCTTTTGTAGTTTAATTTGGATTCAGTTGACACCTCCTGCAGTTTCCTGCCATTATCACAGGATTTGTCCATTATGATAGCCTTGGCCCATAGGGCTCCCACTTTTGGAAGTAGGGAAAAGGCAGATTCATCTGAGCTATAAAACTAACATATTGCATTAACATAGTGCTTTCACCTTTAAAGCATCAACCATCTTCTATAGTAGTTTCATCCTTTTTAGTGTGTGTGCCTGAGGGAGTTACAGACTCTTTTGAGAATCTGGTGAAAGCTGTGGACCTGCTCCCCTAATGAATTCACAGACACACACACACACACACACACCATACACTTTTGCATACCTCATTAGGGGGCTTCCTGCATAGGTAGATATCAGACACAGGCCATGTGTTATTTACTTTGGCTCCCTAAACCCTCAACTGAAATTCTTATCAGAGGTCCTGCCTCACCAAACTTGACAAGAAAGATCGAAAGAAATGAATGATGGGCCACTGTCCTTCCTGTAGAGGATCAAAGCTGGTGTCACCTGGAGAAATCTGGGGTTAGGCAAAAAGTGTCCCTTCATCTGGGCTTCTGCTTGTTTGTGCCTTCACACCTCTTCTGAATCTTGAATCACCAGTCTGATCTACACTGTCCATAGATTCGCTTTCCCTCAAGTCTTGGCATTGGGGTAGGATATCTGCTCAGCTAGCTAGAGGTGCCTACAGCTTTACTGGGATGGGCAGTGGTGTATTAGCCAGCTCTGGCTGCTATAACAAAACACCATGGACTGGGTGACTTAATTGGCAGACATTCACATCTCACAGTTCAGAAGTCCCAAGTCCACTGGGGAAGTCCCACTGCCTGCTTATGCGGTTCCTGGTGAGGACCTTCTTTCTGCCTAGGTTACCACCTTCCTGTTGTGTCCTCACAAGGCACAGGAGAGTGTTCAAGCTCTCTCAAGTTTCATGTGTCTTCTCATAAAGGCACTAATCCCATTATGGAGGCCCCATCCTTTTGACCTCACCCTAACCTAATTACCTCTCAAAGGTCCTATTTCTGAATACCATCACAGTGGGGGTTAGGGCTTCAACATATACATTTGAGGGGAATGCTATTCAGTCCATAGTAAATGGTTTGGTTGTGTTGTGCTTGATAAAATTATTACAGCAGAATCTTAAAACAAGGACATTTCAGGATGGACATACTGATGGACATACATAAGGATGGACATTGTTATTACTTTATAATATTGATGATATCAAACATCTGTATAACAGTGCAAGGATATAAATATTCTCACTAGTTTTATCTCCCTTCACCCTCCCTGCAACCCTACAACATAGATGTGGTTCATATTAAGCCTACTGAGGGGAGAGGAAACTTCAGTTCAAGGACACTAAATACTATAACTTCATGTCAAAATTGACATTTGAACCCACGCCCAGCTCTGACTTCCAGTCCAACTCTTTCTGCTATTCCATATGCCCTTCACATGCAGACGTGGCCATGTCAGTGAGTTAAGAGAGGACGTTTCTTTCCCTGTGACATCCAGCTTGTGTTTATTTCTTTCTTTCTGCAAATACTTACTGAGTATGCACCGTGTACCTATCACTATGCTAGATACTAGGAATGAGCACTAAACAAAACATACACAGTCCCTGGGTTTGTGAAGCTGGCTCACAGTCTCTGGAAGAGACAGTCATTCAAAAAAAACCTCATAAATGAACATGTAATTTTAAAATATGCAAAGCCTGTTTCAGATCCTGTGTCTCCCTCTCTCTCTGACCCTCCCCTGCTCACGCTGTCTCTCTCTCTCTCAGAAAAAAAAAAAAAAACACATTAAAATGTGCCAAGTGCTTTAAATGAAGAGCATGAGGTGCCCTAGTAAAGTGGAACAGAGGTCACCTCATTTCCACGGGAAAATGGCTCAGGAGGACTTCTCTGAGAAAGGGCCCCAACACAAAGCCTAAATAATGCATAGCTGTTCAGCAGATAAAGAGTGAGGGGAAACTATTTCAGGCAGAGTGAATAGCATGAACAGAGGACACTTTCAGCTGCAAGTAACAGAAAAACCTGCCTTAAACATTTAAAACAAAGTCATACTTCACATAATAACAAGCACATAGCTAAGAAAGCCCCAAGACTGCCTAGGTCAGAATGTCAATCCCAGATTGTATCCATCTTTGCTCTTTGCCATCCTCAGTACATTAGTTTTTCCTTGCGCCCTACCCAACCAGACAAGATGGCCACCGCAGCGTCAGGTATCGTGGACAGACACGGCATTGACTGGTGGAAGAAGAGGTGATGTTTATCCCCACATGCCTGTAAGAGCTAGAGTAACTTCCCCAGAAGTCCCTCAGCCAACTTTGCCTCTTGTCTCATTGGCCAGAAATGCCTCCCATGCTCGTTTCTAAAAGAGTCCCTGTCAGAGAAGGTGGAATTATCACTGGTTGGCCAAGTGAAGCGGGTGACCACGTGGAGAAGGGGAAGATCACAGTTCTGCTGGGGAAATAGGAAGTCAGGAAATGGATTTGCAGTAGGTAAAGAATGTGTCTGCCATGGCCCATAGGTAGAAAAACATCAGGAAGGACAGCAAGAGGGTGCCTGGGTGGCTCAGTTGTTTAAGTGTCCAACTTCGACTCATGTCATGATCTCAAGGCTCATGGGATCGAGCCCCGTATCAGCAACTATGCTGAGAGCCCAAAGTCTGAAGCCTGCTTCTGATTCTGTGTCTCCCTCTCTCTTTCTGCCCCTCCCCTGCTCATGCTGTGTCCCTCTCTCAAAAATAAATAAATGTTAAGGGGCGCCTGGGTGGCTTAGTCGGTTGAGCGTCTGACTTTCGCTTAGGTCATGATCTCACGGTTCGTGGGTTCGGGCCCCGCGTCAGGCTCTGTGCTGACTGCCAGCTCAGAGCCTAGAGCCTGTTTCAGTCTGTGACTCCCTCTCTCTCTGACCCTCCCCTGTTCACGCTGTCTCGCTCTCTCTCTCCTAGAAATAAATAAAAAGACATTTAAAAAATCAATCAATCAATCAATAAATGTTAAAAAA